CCTTCCCACTGGCTGTCTGGGGCGGCCTGTTCCCGGCCTCTGAAGGACTGAGTGGGGGGGGGGGCGGGGCGGACGGTGCAGAGGCAGGGGGAAGGGTGTGCACGGAGGGGCCCCAACTAGAAAGAGCCCCACGGTCCTGGCCTTGGGGTCCACCAGACGCAGGAAGCAGAGGGGAAAGGCAGGGGGCAGAGGGAGAAGGGGGCGGGTGGGCGCAGAGGAGTGTGCCTGGGGTGGGTGCAGGAGCGAGGGTGGGAGGGGACGGTGGGCAGCAGGACGCAGAGCCAGAGAGAAGTGGACGAAGGCCGCCGGGCACAGGAGACAGGAGGGGACGGAAACAGTGCAACTGGCCCAAGCGACAGAAAGGAGCTGCCCCTCCAGGCCTGGGCCTGCCTGCGGCCGCCCAAGCCCCCACCCCACCCCTCGCTTGCGACGCTGGGGCCCCCTGGCTCCTCCGTGTTCCGGGACGGACGTGCCAAGAGCCTTCCTGATGCGCCTTGTACATGCTGTTCTCGCCAGGCCGCCCCCCCCCCACCGCCCTCACCCGGCCGGGGCTTCTTAACTCTTACGTGCCCCTCGCTGCTCAGTCCCACTGTCACTTCCTTAGGGGGCCTTCCAGCCCCATGGAGCCAGGTGCCACCGCTCCTTACCCTCAGACGGGCCAATTCATCATTTGCAGGGACAGACACACAATCAAAGGCAGGGCTGGGGGGAGGGTAAGAGCCCAACCTCAGGGAACCTGGAGCGGGGCAGCCCCTGTGCCTGCAGGCCTTGAGGTTCCCCTGTGCTCAGGGTCTCCTGGACACGACAGCCTCCGTCCCTTCCTTCCGGTCACTCCCGCAATGGTTTAACTCAAGCTGCTGAGTCCCCCATGTCCAGGAGCTGCCCGAGGGCAGGGCTCGTCCTCCTGGCTGCCAGCACAGTCCAGGCACAGAGGCGGATGCCCAGAGGGAGAGGAGGCAGGCGGAAGTGGACATGGGAAGAGTGGGCAGCCAGAGGGACGGGGAGTTCACGAGCAGCCCCCCGCTGGCCGGCGCAGGAAGGCAGAAGGGACACGATACTCACAGCTGGTCGAGGGGCTGTCGGTGCCGTCCAGTTCCGCCCTGGGGAAGCCGTGCCCGGAGTGGGCGGTGCGCAGCGCCGACTCGATGGCCCTCTCGTGGGCAGTGAGCATGAAGGCAGGGGCTCGGCCCCCAGCCCCAGGGCCCGACAGGGACTGCTGCATGAAGGCCAGCTTGTCCTTGGTCCTCCGTTTCATGTCATCCCATCTGTGCTTAATGTCCTTGATGGAGCGGGGGACCTGGCTGACGGAGGTGATTTTCCGAGCTATGCCTTCCCAAATCTTGTCCCTGTCGGCATGGGACAGCCGCATGGTCTCCCTCCCAAAGAGAACTGCTTCGTGGTGGGTCACCTCCGTGACCAGAATGTCCAGCTCCTCCTTGGAGAACTTGGGCTTCCTCTTACGCTCGGCCAGGGGCGCCACGGTCCTTGGGTTGAATATCCCACAAAGCACAATTGGGTAAATGACCGTCAAGGCGGGTGGGCCTCCTCCTTCCTAATGCCGGCCCCAGCTGGGGAGCCAGGAGGCACCTGGGACAACCCGGCCCCACGCCCTCCTCCTACTGAGAAGTCCCTTCTCCTCCTCCTCGGAGGGGGGCGGTAGGAGGCAGAGGCGCAGGTCAGGCGGTGGGAGCCCTGGGCAGATCCGCGGAGCAGGCCCGGCCTTGCCTTCGGCTAGCAGCGAGTGCCGGGGCGGTGCAAGTTCATGTACCCTTTCCCGCCTCCCTGTCCCCATCCAGAAGGGCAGTACCAACACACCAGCTCCTCAGGCTGGCTCTAAGGGGGGAGGGTATAGTGATGTAAAAACACCCTATAAAAGGAATAAAGAGTCCTCAGTGAAGTCAAGTTTAAACGGGGCCATGCAGGGACGTGAGTGGCTTGGAGGGCCACTGTCCACATGGGCTGCCGTGGCCAGGCCTCAGCTGGTGCTGCCCACCAAAGGGTGTCATCACAGAAAGCTGATTCCATCCCGTGTGGCTCACCACCCCTCCGCCATCTGCCCCCTCCCGTCCCCACTTCTGTGTGTGCAGGAACGGAGCCACCTCCCGCGGCTGCACCACCAGCTCTTGGGGTGGCTGCTGTGGCTTTCTGGTTGGATTTGAGGAGCTCATGAGCATTCACTGGGAGATGAATTGCACTCTGATGGACACCAGGGGTGACCTCAGCTTCCGTCTCCACAGGGCAGCCAGGGGCACCAGGAGGGGCTCCGCGGAGCTCTACCACCGGCTCTGCTCTTGAAACGCAGCTTCTCCACGTGTGGCTCTGCCCGCCTTTACCTGCTGCTGCAAGGTTGGAAAGGTCTACCCGAGAGGGGACCCAGGGCACAGAGGGAAACCTGGGGCCCGAGTCACTCCTCCGCCTGCAGCATCAGCTGAGAGGCCGAGGGCAGCAGCCTCACCCCCACCCTGCAGCACACCAGGCCCTGCAAGCTGCGGAGAGGCAGGCTGTGGTCCCCAGGCCAGGACAATGGCACGGCACAGGCTTGCACTGCGCAGACCTCAGACTAGAGGCTGAGTCTCCTTGGCAGCCACAGGGCCTCTGTACAACTAGGAGGACCATCCCAGGGCCACTTCCCAGGGCTGTCGGGAAGCTGTGACGTGGCTTCTTGGTCACACCACTACTGGCATTTGGGGCTACGGATATTCTTTGTTGGGGGAGGGGCTGCAAACGTAGAGTGTTACCGCCACCTTTGCCTCCTTCGGCTTCTACCCGATGCAACCAGTGGCACCCACCCAGGACGCTGCGACTGCCAGAATGACTCAGGCACTGTCCAGCGCTCCCAGAGGGGCACGCAGCCCTTGCTGAGGACCCTGCACACAGCCCCTGGCACAGGGGGCCATAGGGTCAGTGCTCCCAACCTGGACACCGGTTCCCTTCCTGTCCCACCACCTACTTTGTAGACGCCCTGCGTTCCCTCAGCCCCGCGCCCCGGGCCACCAGAGTGCAGTCCAGAGCACCCGCAGACGAAGGAGCTGCCCAACGAAGCTGACGCACAACCAACCCCAACTTGCCCTTGAGCTGAGGGCCCGCCAGGGGGACCACCAGGCACCATCTTGGTCAGGACAGGGCACAACCCATGGCAGAGCCTACCCGGCCAGGGCCCACACGGCCCAGGGAACTGGCTCAGCCTGGCTCCTTGTGTCCAGAGCCACAGCTCCAGTCCCTCTGCTAGTGACCAGTTCTGGGCCCCGGTTTGGCCGTTGTGGCGTGAAGACCGATGCGGAGCCGTGCTCTCAACCCGCGCCCTCAGAGTCCCCGCGGAGAGCCTCACCGAGGCCTGGCCAGCGTGGCCGACAAGCTCCGAGCGCCAGGCGGCGGCTGAGTTGGCTGAGGAATCCCAGGCCCAGCTGGGGGTGCAGGGGAGCAGCAGGGCTCGGCTCCGGAGGTCGGAGCTCCTGGAAGCCGGACAGTGGAGGCAGGAGGACACCTGGGCCGGAGCCCACACCCTCGCTTCCCTATTGCCTGGGGCCACTGCACTGACCGGGTGAAGAGACCTTAGAGGCAGGCCCTGCTGTCCATGGACAGCCTGTTTGAATGGCTCATGCCCCCTTGCTCACAGTGTCCCCAAAGTCCTTGCCACTTTGGAGGCCCCTTTCAGAGGCCCCCTTCTCTCTCACCTGGGCCCTAGCAGGACAGTGAGAGTCCACGCGATAGCCAGGCGTGGCACCAGGTGTGGGCCCTGGGAGGGCCACGGGGACAGGCCAGGCTGGGCCACCCCAGGTGCCCAGCGCAGGGTCCGAGGGGAAGCAGGTTCTGCATGAGGCGGGTGAAGCCCGTGTGTGTCCTGACCTGGACCCAGGGTGGGGGAAGGCAACAGTTAGGACTGCAGACCTACTTCTCGGGCCACTTTCAGGGCAATGGCTGACCAGGTCTGGGGAGGAGAGGGAGGAGAGAGCTTGTCCCCACACACAGCCTGGACGTCTGCTTATCTACGGTGACCCTGCTTCTGTACCTGGTAAGTGGCAGTAGGAGCAGCTTCCCCCCAGGAGAGGGTGAGCCCTGGGTGCTCTGGGGGAGAACGGTGGCTCTGCTGACTGGGAGTCTGACAGGAGAACAGGGTCAGTCAGGCTGTCTGGGGGGACACCAGGCCCCCAGCGTGACTCCCCAGCCCCAACTAACCTCTCATCTGCTTGTGACTGTCACAGTTTAACTACAGCACCCCCCCCACATTGGTCCCTAACTGCACCGTCCTCCTCCACCCACAAGCCTGCAGCACCCATGGGTCACCAGGTCACACAGACACAAAGAGAGGGCGCCACATCCAGGTGTAGTGGGTCCCGGGGTCCAGCCACAGAGGGCCCCTTGTTAGCCCCACCCAGACCCACATCCCTGTTCACTGTCCTGGGGTCCCAGAGAGAAGCCCCTACGGAAGTGAGAGGCCAGCCTGCTCCCCTGCCCACCACCCACGGCAAGGCCACCAAGGCCAGCGCTGAGCCCAGGGTCCCAGACGTGGCTGGGACGGCCTGGGCAGTCTCCTGCTCTCTCTGGCTAGCCTTTAGGACCTTTCTGAGTCACGCACTGGCCCAGGGTGAAACCACTCAAGCCCAGCAGCAAGCATGGTGGACATCAGGCCCAGCCCCTGCCAGGGGCCTCCTCGGCCAGGAGCACCATTGGAACAACCACTGGCCCGGCGGCTTGAGTCCCGCACCCCTGCAGCAGCAGCCTGCCCTGGGAGACAGCGTCACGGTCCCTCCCCAGGAATGCTCCCAGGAACCTGGGGCCCTTGGAGTCCCTGCAGCCTGCTGGCCTGGCCACGGTCCTCCTCGGGGCCCCCTCATGGAAGCCGGGGACCAGGAAGGTCACGGAGGCTGGACGTCTCCCATGCTCTGCACACAGCAGTCCTGGAGGCCTCGGCCTCTGGAGACCCCATGGTCCCAACACGCCACCCCGACCTCCTCTCGGGAGGCCAGTCGGCCTCCCAGAACACAGCAGAGAGGACTCACCTCATCCAGTTGGCCTTGGTCTCATCCGACCCATCTATGGACTTGTAGCGGCTGTTCTTGTCCACAATCTGCAAGACAGAGGGACAGTCTAGAAAGGCCCAGGGTCACTACCTCCCTCTGTCTGCCATCACCCCACAATGTCCCCAAAGCCACAGGACTGAAACCAAGCTAGAGTCCAGGATTCCTGCCACCTACCTACCCTCTGCCCATCCCATCCCCCTAGAGGATGGAGGACACACACACACACACACACACACATGCACACTCACAAGTACATACACATGTTCATACACACACATAAACACACACACTCACACACACATACATGCACACTTACAAGTACACATACATGTTCACACACACATGGCCACACACACACACACACACACACACTTTCAAGGTGCTGTGGATTCTGGGAAGAGACAGATGAGCCATCCCTGTCCTCTGTCTTGATGGATACCCAGTGACTCGGCCCATGAAGCCACTTCCTGTAGCCTCGTGTTACAACACAAAAGCTGAATCTGGCCTGTCTCTCTTTCCAGCTTCTGCAGGAGACGGAAGCCACCGTTGCACAACGGAGCGTCTGTAATCTGAGAGGCTCCTGCTCCCCAACCTCCAAAGACTCAGGAGCCTGGGGGTCGGAGCGGGACCCCTTCTCTTCAGTAATCTCACCATCGCTCCCAGCATCAGAGTCAGTGCAGGGTGTGGAATTCTAGGCTGACTGGTCTTATCTTCTAATCCAGGAAGATTAACAAAAGACTGCCCTGTGGTCACCTGCAACCTTCTGTTCCCCTGATGTTGGTCCTTTGTGGATGATCTGTCCATGGTAAATGTAAAGACTTTCCCTGTGTTTGTGATTTATGCCATTTTGCTCTGTGGGTTATTTTATAAAATCTTCAACTTGAGGAGCACTTTCAAACAAAGACAATATCTCTTTTGATTTTGGAAAATTCTCAGCCATTGTACTTCTGAGAACTCAACTTCTCAGTCATTTTTCCAGGCCCTTCTGGTAGAATCTACTAAACACACATGGGAGCAGCTCATTCTGTGCTCCGTGTCTTTCAACTTCCTTTTCATATTTTTTCCTCTTTATCTTTCAGGGAAGATCCCTGAGAACTCTCTTCCCATCCACTGATTCTCTCTTTGGCCGTATCCAGTCCCAGGTTCCTCTGGTCTCCTAGGTCTCCCTTCCTCCCTTGGCCTCTCTTTTTAATGGGTGCCTTTCAGTCCATGGATATCTCCCATTCGCAGGTTTTGTAATGGTTCTTGTTCAAATCCAACTTTCTCTTTCATCCTGCCTGTTTGGGTTTCATAAGGACCTGCTCCTTCCTCTTCCTCTCCCCACAGCCTGACCGAGCTGACAACCTGACGGGTGTGGCACAGGAGCCACAGCAAGGCTGGTCCCCAGGGCCTCGTGAAGCAGGGCTCACCGCAGGCCCCAACCAAGCCCGAGGCCATTCCCAGCCCCCTGCGGATTCTCCCCAGAGCCAGGGAAACTTGTGATCATCTCAAATCAGACCGGTCCCTTGCCAGCTCATGGTTTTATTCACGGCATGTGGTCACAGCCTTCAAAGCCCGAATCCCTGCCCAGCCATCTAACTGACCTGGGGATTCCTCTGCCCTACACTGCAGCCAACTTTTCTGGGGTGAACTTTAACCAGGGTCACTCCCACACCTAGAACCTCTTTTTCATACTCTTAAAAAACAACAATCAAAACATTTCCGTCATTCAAAAATGATCAAGAATAATGCAGCTGACAACCGGTGACCATCGTGAGGGCCAACAAGAGTCACACCAACTGTATTCACCTCAGATCTTTCTCTCCTTTGGATCCACGACAATCCCAAGATGCAGCTGAAGACGTTCTCTGCCTCCAAATCATCCTTCTTCCCTCCCCCCTCCAAGGGCAGCCACCAGTCCTGAAGCTGGTGGGGAGCCTTCCCATCTCTAGTTCACAAAGATTTTTCTAAGAATAATATATAGCACTGTTTTGCATGTTTGGGGATTTTACAAAAATGGCATCAAAGTGAACACACCCTTGGATAAACTTTCTCCCACCAAGCCATCCAAAGCTTGGATAAAAAGATACCAAGTCCCTTTTTATCTCTTGGGTCTCAGATTGTGTCACCTCCACAGAATAAGCCTTTCCTAATCTAACCCTGATGTAGATTTTCCCTGCACACACCCCCACCACCCCGGCTTTAGTTGCATGGCATCTCGCTACTTTTTTTAAAGCCCCAATGACAGCATTTTCATGGATGGTAGTTTATCTATCCACTGATTTGGTAAAGGACTGTCTCCTTCACCAGACCCAAGCCAAAGAGACAAAGCTCATGGCTCTCCCACTCACATGGTGACCTAGCTGGAATGGTGGGGAACGAATGAGTGAAGAGCCTTTTAAATAAAAAGCAAGTCAAAGAAAAAAATTATATACTATTAACATTTTAGTAAGAAAGAAAAGAGCCAGGCTCAGTGGCACACACCTGTCATCCCAGCGGCCCAGGAGGCTGAGGCAGGAGGATCATGACTTCAAAGCCAGCCTCAGCAACTTACAAGGTACTAAGCAACTCAGTGGAACCCTGTCTCTAAATGAAATACAAAATAGGGCTGGGGATGGGGCTCAGTGGTCCAGTGCCCCTGAGTTCAATCCCTGGGACCAAAAAAACAAAAATAAAAGAAAGAAAGAAACCAGAGTGGCAGGCGAAGTCAGCTTTCACGGACCAGTAAGGGTGGACTCCGGGAATTCTGTGAGCCACCTGTTACACGTAGCCATCATTAAAGGCTGAATGATATAAAATCACAGTTCAATAAACTACAAATTCTTTAAAGGTGATGATATTCAAATCTGACCACTTGCCTGTTGTGTTCTACATTTCCCTATTTTCCGTATCACTAGTGCTTCTTTCTGGGGTGCTACAGTCTTGGTCCCCAGCTTGGTACTGTTGGTGGAACTCTTAAGAGGCGGCACCTCGTGGGAGGTCTTCAGTCCCCTGGGGTGCACCCAGAGGGGCAATGTGGGACCCTGGTCTCTTCCTCTCTTTGCCTCTGGCCACCATGAGGACAGCAGCTCGCTCCACCATGGGCTCCATATCCTGAGGTGTTTCCTCACCACAAGCCCAGAAGTGATGGTTTCCAACGCCCACAGACCAAAACCTCCAAACTCATCAGCCACAACAAACCCTTCCTTCCACAGCGCTAGCTCACCGCTGTCCTCTCACTTCCTTTAAAGCCCTAACTCCAGTGAGCATTTTCAATGATGATGGTGTTTATCATCTTTCTGTTGATTTGGAAACAGACTGTCTCCCTCACCAGATAAGTTGATGATCTCAGGCATCAACTTATCAGTTTGTTACAGTCACAGAAAGCTGACTGACACATATGCTCCTTAGAAGGGCACGAATACCGTCTCTGTACTGGGGGAATACGGTCTGTTAGTTCTGCTGCACATTCCTTCCTGACTCCATGTTTAGCAAGTTCATGTTGCATAGCTGAAAATTCACCACACCAGGAGCATGCACACCACGAAAATCGACACCTATGTCCCCACCATCACCAGCAGGTTGTCAGACATTTTCCAGCACACCATAATGCACACATATACATGTGCACGACACACACACACATCTGTTTGCAGTGCAGAGGATTGAACCCAGGGCCTCACACATGCTAGGAAAGTGCTACCACTGAGCCGCACCCCAGCCCAGATCCCTGTGTTTGCACGAGCACCAACAGGAGGAGGGGGAAAGGGGGTGTTGCTCTGTTTGTGACACTGAACTGCCTTGTATTATAAAATCTCAGAAAGACAGAGGGGCAAGACGTGGAGCTCTGGCTCCCCTCCTCCACAATCTCCCCAGACACATGCTAGTCTGCAGAACCCTCCTGAGGGGTCCCACGGAACCCTGTCCTTTGCCCTCACATTGACCACCCTACGTTGTCATTTTCGGGTCACCTCTCCCATCTGGGAGAAGAGAAGCATCTTTATCTGCCATAGCCCGCAGGGGGAGCAGCTGGCGTAGCGAGAGCCTGGAGCCCGGGGCAGCAGCTAGAACCTCAGCTTCAGCACTCAGGAGCCCAGTGGCCTTGTCCAGGGGCTTCCCTGGCCCTCGGTTTCCTCACCTGCATCGTGGGGTAAAAGCCATCCCTGCAGCATTACTGCCACCACTGACGTGGAAGGCACCCTGGAATCTCGATGCCAGTACTGATGCAAGGATCGCGTTGGACACTGTTAATTCTGGGTGGGGGAGGCCTGGGGGTCTGTGACCACTGAGGTGGAATCTGCCTCTGCAGCTCTGCCCTGAGAGGGGCTGAGAGGGACACGGCGGCTGCCTTGGGCCTGTCCCTGGTTCGGGCTGAGGCTTCCTGAAGCTGTTTCTTGGCTTATCTTTGTCACCAATCAGGGGTTCCTCTAACGTCATGTCCTGTCACTCCACGGAGTGTTGAGAGCCACAGCCGAAGGGGCCCCAGCAAACTTTCAGACTGCCAGCTGATGATTGGTGCTGATAATGCCAAGGTCGCGGGTTCGTTCCCGTACAGGCCACCAAATGCCGCAGTCTGGCTGGGCACAATTCAGGAGCCACTTGTCAAAAGAAACTAACTTTATTTTTAGAACCACACATGCCAAACAAAACCACTCCTCAGGAAAAACCCTCAGAGCCCAACTGCCACCACCAGCTTCCCACAAGCCTCTCTTTCAACCACAAGCCTCTCCACCTCCCACAATCCTCCTGCTCTTGAGGCCGATTGGCTGGGTCGCGTGGGCGGAGCCAAAAAAGTCCCCCAATGAGCAGCTCCGTGGTCTGAAAGGGCAGGGAAACAGCCCAATGAGCATCACAGCAGAGGAACCAATCAGCTAGATGTTGCTGGGGCCACTGTGAGCCAATCATCAGCTGGCAGTCTGAAAGGGCGGGGAAACAGCTCAATGAGCATCACCGCAGAGGAGCCAATCAGCTAGATGTTGCTGGGGCGCTGTGAGCCAATCATCAGCTGGCAGTCTGAAAGTTTGCTGGGGCCCCTTCGGCTGTGGCTCTCAACAACGGAGACCTCCGGGACAGCAGCTGAAGGCTCTGG